GTTTTTATTATTCAGAGGGTGAGGAGGTTATAGGTTATATATTAAAAATACCTTTTGAGGCCAGGTGCGGTGGCTCACACCTGTAATCCTAGCACTCTCTGAGGCCAAAATGGGAGGATTGCTTGAGCTCAGGAGTTCGAGACCAGCCTCAGCAAGAGCAAGACCCCGTCTCTACTATAAATAGAAAGAAATTAACCAAACAACTAAAAATAGAAAGAATTAGCCGGGCATGGTGGCACGTGCCTGTAGTCGAACTACTTGGGAGGCTGAGACAGGAGGATCGCTTGAGCCCAGGAGTTTGAGGTTGCTGTGAGCTAGGCTGATGCCACGGCACTCACTCTAGCCCGGGCAACAGTGAGACTCTGTCTCAAAAAAATAAAATAAAATAAAATAAAAATACCTTTTGAAAGTAAGGCTTTTGCCCTTAATTTTGCTTATAATTTTAAAAACTAATATATGCAAATGCTATCATGAAAATTTTGAAAAGAATAATTAAGACTGCTGCTATGGGCTATTTTTTGCACAATTGAAATTAGATTTGGTAAATTTTAAACAGCTCATTCTATACAGAAGTTAACTTCAATTTGTAAATGCTCTTAGTCCTTCCCGGTAACCCTTGCTCCACCCTCACCCCCCACCCTCTCCATACACATGGACTATTCTGCACTTTGAAACACAAAGCAACTTGTCAGTTCAGTTTATTCAGTTAGGGTCAGTTCTGTGAAAACAAAGTCAAGGCAATTGTTTGATTTAATTGACTAGAGAAACTGGTTATACAGGTTAGGAGAACTTAGCTTTATTTTTGTCCAGGTGCATATTTGAATGTTCATAAAGCAACTTAGTAAAATAATAAGAATCCAGTGACATTGTCATAAATTTTAAAGAATGATTACCAAAGCAAAGAAAAAGCACACTAAAACCCAGACTGTAGAAAGTATTCATAGTATTTTTTTCTTTATGTCTCCACTTTGACAATAATGAACTGTCTCCCTAAAAAATGAAGTCGTCTTTTCTTTCACTACTCCATTCCTTTTCTTTGAGGGATTTTTTTTTCCTGGACTACAGTTAAAATAACCATAAGAAAATTTGCTATATAATTTAGATGAATAATTTATAATTTAAATACTTTTACAAAATAGGCCTCTAACTGCAAGCAGACATTCTCTAACAGTTGATCAGCCCCCTCTCAGCTTCAGTGTCCTCCTTACCCCCCTGGACCTCATGGTTGTCATTTTAACAATATTCTCCCTTGATTCTTTCCACCTCCCACCATACTTTCCACTACACTCATCCTGCTATTCTCTGCTCCTTCAGTGCCTAGGCCGCTAATCACTCATTGTTTTGTTAAAATCAGTGGAAAACCAAAAAATTGAAATGCTAAAATATGTTAGGTCTTAATATTAAAAAAGGATAAAGATCTCATAAATAAAAATCATTTTTAAAAAAATACAAATCGTTTC